CCGGGGGTGAGACGACAGGAGGCAGCTGCAGGATCCACAGTGAGCAAAAAGCCAGAATGTCTGCTTATATTGAGATGCAGGCCACACCCTCGAGAAAGCTCCCTTTCATCTGATTGGCTACTCACATTCAGTCATGGCAGTGATCACATATAAACACTGAGAATCATGGCACAGCCAAGTTCACACACAATCTTAACCATCACAGACCAGATAACTCTCTGTTGTTGGGGACTTCCCAGTTCATTGTAGGATGTTTAGTAGCAGCATCCCTAGCCACTATCCACTGGATTCCTGTAGAACCCTCCCTAGTTAATAACAACCATCAATTTCTGCAGACATTGCCAAGTGTCCTCTAGCGGGCAAAATCTTCCTTGATTGAGAACCACTGGTCTAGATAACTTGGTAACCCTCACACTACAAAATACCAAGTTTGGAGAAAATATAATAAACATCCTTTGAAATGCATATAGCTGAGAGTGCAAGGAAGTAAGGGGCATCCTCAGAAGCAAAATACGAAGAGGAAATTAAAAACTCAAGTACTGAGACGGGTTGTGCTAATGCTGTGCTAATGGTGGGGAGGATTTGCTGATTTTGGTAACCGAGGGACTTTGGGTTTTTTTTTTTGTTGTTCTTTTGTTTTCTTTTTAGTTGTTATGTGATTTATATACAATAAAATGCACAGATCTTAAGTGTTCAATGAATTTTTTACTATTATGTAAACTCATGTATCCATCACACAAAACAAGATATAGAACATTAAGGACATGTCTTTTAATTGCCACTTAAGGGCTGGAAAGAAGGCCTTGGGTCTGCACAAGGTAGTAATGTGGAACTGAGACTCCTGTGTAAGGCAGTGACTATTGAAAGGATGCACCTCAATGGAAACATAGTTGTGGGGTAAGGATTTACTGTACCTCAAGTAATGTGGCCTTTGTCCTTGGTTCCTGAGATAAAGCTCTAAACCCTTGGAATTTCCTCAGTGTTTAAAGTGCTTTTGTTATCTAGACCTCTAGACCATTCCTGGGGATTTGTGCTAATGGGTGGGGAGTTAATGGGAGGGAGACCTGCCATTAAATTTAGCTACAAATATAGCTAAACTTGTGGTTATAACTAACACTAAACAATTAAATGTAGCTGAATTCAGATATTGAATCTGCTGAATTGGTCTTTCAATTGTTAGAATTATAAGTTTGTGTTTTCTTTAATCGGACTCTAGCCCTATTGAATACCTACTATGTACAAGGCATGAATCTAGAGATGAGAATGTTGTACAATACACTGCCCTTGCCCTTAAGACACTTACGGTGAATATTTATCTTACTTGAGATTTCAAATTATAATACTCATCTCAAGCTGAAATGTTTGAGGGGCCAAAACCAAACCAAACCTGTTGCCATCGAGTCAATTCCGACTCACAGCAAACCTGTTGGACAGAGTAGAACTGCCCCCATAGGGTTTCCAAGGATTGGCTGGTGGATTCGAACTGCCGACTTTTGGTTAGCAGCCAAGCTTTTAACCACTGTGCCTCCAGGGCTCTGTTCTGAGGGGAGATACCTATATATATCCATCCAAAGAAAAACCCTGAAATTGCATTAAGTGCTTAATAGGAAACATAAGGAATTTAGTAGTGAAACATTTCGTGTTAAATAGTTACTTTGGTCTGAACTAAAGCAAGATCCTAAGAAAAACTTAATATTTTGTATTTTTCAATTTGGACTGTAGGTTTTGAACACTTGGGCAAGAGTGTAGAGAACATTAAGAACATACGTAATTGGTGTTTACAAGAGAAACAAATAAATATACACACATATTTTATGGGTAGTTTATCAGTATTAACTTCTATATGCTTGGAAGGAGGAAGGTAAATGTACTAACTGATCCTCTGTACAGAGGAAAGTTTTACATTGTATGGTGTACATCACTGGCAAGGCATGCCATTGTGTGTCCCCAACAACATGTTGGCCTTCTGCCAGGTACAAGAAGAGGAACAGGAAAACTGAAAACAGATGTCCTGGAGGATTTTATCTTAAGAATAAATAAAGAAGTGCTCAGGTTTGTCCTGCATAAACTCCTTTAGGCACACAAGTAAGACCTCTAGACATTCATTTAATGTTGGAGAATCAGAATTAACAATTACAGTGTTAGCTTAAATGTTAGAGTCCAAACCTTTAGACTTCAAGCTTTTACCTTTAATGTGTGGCCTAGGAGAGGAGACTTGACCACCCCTCCACTCAGAGGAGGTCCCCTGCAGCTAGGGTCCAAGGTCGGTTGTGGCAAGCAGTGGGCTCAGTCTTCGAATAGAGAACCAGAGAGACGTTTTACTTCTCTCTTCTCCAAAAATGAGCAAAGATCCATGGGTTTATATACCATGTGTGCTGTCATGTTTAACTATAATTAGTATGTCTTATTGCCACTTAGGAAATTGTTGTATTTTGCTGATTTATACAGATTCGAATTATTGCCAATTAGGGAATTGTTGTATGAAATAGTCATGTTTTTGTTTACCACATGTATGCAAGACCAAGTTGATTAATTTAAAATAATGGGAATTTTTTAGTGACATATTTAAGTTTTGTTAATTTGTAGAGATTTGATTAGTATTACATTGTCTTATCACAGAGGACAGGTACACAGCCCCATTTAGGGAAGTTATTTATGACCTACTTTACATGCTTCTGTTTATTTTCAAGGTTAGAACAACTTTCTAACGACTTATAGTTAATGGTTAAAGAGTATTATAGAAGTATACATGTTTCTTTTTCTAACTTCACATTATGAGTGACTTACACATAGGTATTTAAAAGCATTATAAATACATCATAGCAAGCCATGGAGACTGGATGAACCCCCAAAACTATTGCCCTGAATAATTTTTAAACCTTAAACAAAAAAATCCCCTGAAGTCTTCTTAAAACCAAACAGTAGATTAGCTTAAGTAGTAAAAAATGTCTGCCTTGAGCATAATATTATGCTCTTTTAAGAACTATCTATACGGGATCAGATTGACCACAGCAATTTGAAAGATAAGAACCTTAGGAGGCAGTGAGTTTATGTTAATGGGGGAGGAACTACTCAGAGAAGGAGGGTGAGAATGGCTGCACAACATGAAGAATGTAATCAATGTCAGTGAATTGTACATGTAGAAACTGCTGAATCGTTGTATGTTTTGCTGTGTATATTCTCAACAACAACAAAATAAGTAACATTAAAAAAATCATAACAATGTAAAAAGGATTATAGAAGCGTATATAATAGTGATATGATTTAAGAACGTTACAAAAAAATACATAACAGAGATGCTGTTAACAGCAACAACAACATTTTCCAAGAAAAGAAGGGAGACATACTCCTCTGATGAGTTAAGATAAGCTACAAATAAGGAGTGCACCAAATGGACCACACACTGGCTGATACACTGACGTGCATCCTTCCCGTAAGAAATCTCAGCTTTCAGTTCAGTTCTGTCTTTTTGTATTCTAACTTTATATCTGATTCTTACTTGGAGATATCTCCTGCCCAGATTTCCTGCAGGCTTCTATAGGGCTGAATACTTAACCTTTACCATAGAACCTTTCCCACTTGTCATTCTTGTTTACCTCTCTACAAATGAACACTATAGCTGTGTGACTTCAGGCAAGTTACTTAATCTCACTGAGCTTCTGTGATGTTAAATATAAATGGTATCATCCTCTTGGAGATGTTGTGAGGATTAAATGAGATAATTCCTAGCATATGGAAGCCCCAAAGCATGGAGTCAATTCTGCTGCATAGGATTTCCAAGGCTGTAAATCTTCAGGGAAGCAATAAGCACTTGGTAAATAGTACCTATTGTTATCATTATCCATATCTCTTCTCAGCCAGGCTGAGGTCTTAGAGGGTAATGCCTTCCTATTGTTCTTTGTATCTTCCTCAAGTACTTAATAGGAGTTGGCCCAGAATCACTCAAATATGTTTAATATTGTTCCTGGTCTTGGGTCATGGTGGTGTATAAGGCAGCTATTTTTAAACGGGATTTCCTTGAGCAGTTTCAGTGGAGGTGCTTTTGGGTTCCAAAAACATTTGATTTTAATTACAATCTGTAAAGTATATTTTAACTATTTTAAAAACTAACAAAAATCTAGCATGTGAACTCAAGTGTCATGAAACAGAGCTTTAAATAACAAAGGCTCATGTTAACATGCTGCCAAGTTAATTCATTTTTGTGTTTTTCTTGTTATCTCTGTTTAATTGAAGATTATTCTGATATAGAGTGATAAACTAAAAAATTAAAAAGAAGCTACAAAAGAACTTGTTGCTATTTGCAAATATTTTTCTCTACAAGTTTTAATAGTGTGCAGTCAAAACAAAATTAAGAAAAATAGAATGCTGTAGCTGATAAGGATCACAACTAAAATCTGTAACCCTTGCTTTCATAGCTTTATATTAATCAAAAGCACTGTATTGTTCCCATTATTGATTTTATAATAAATTCATTTTATAAATTTAAATTAAAAATACATCTATTATAATTAAGTGTGAATTTATCTCCTACTTTTGGAAAGGACAGATATTTATACAGTAAAAACTACAAAAGCTGAAACCTGTGTAAGGTGGAAACCATCAGAGAAGGAAAACTCAAAGATTTTCCACTAAAACAAGTGGTAACACTGAACCCTTTCGAAGGCGAAAAGTTTTCGAGATTCAGAAAAATAAGTCAGTCCCTTAGAGTTCTGGCTCTCACAGGTATCACTGTTGCTGACTAACCTATATGTTTATTCATTGACAAGCATTCAATGACTATTATTATGTGGTGGATTTTAGGCTCTAGGCTGAGGATATAGGCTTGATAGTCTACAACTGACACAACTTTGGCTTACTACAAACCTCCATATTGAGTTTCCACATAATTTGCATTTGGAAGAATAAAGACAATATTGGTTTAAGAATGGGATTGAAAACCACTAATTGTAAAGTGTCCTATCTCTTCCTGTCAGTTGACCACCTCTCTTTTGCTTTTACAGAGGTCCTGCTGGAGTAAGAGCCCAAGCCCTGGATAGAGATGGAAATCTGGTAGAAGATTTTGTATTTGATGGAGGGGTTGGGGATATTGGAAGTCGCATTCTTCATGTGAGAAATGCACCTTCCCCTGCTGCCACTTCTTCCCTTGCAATTTCTGGAATGATTGCAGATGAAGTGCAACAGAGATTTGAACTATAAATAATGAAAGGAGCTAGGTGTACATTTTAATCTCCACATTCAGCAACAAGAACCTATTAATTGCATTCTTCAATTTTAAGAAAATTTATTTGAAAATCTCATTTTTAGGTCACAGATAACCACTAAATTATTAAAAGTATATAACATAGAATTAATAATTTTTTAAAAGTTAAAGCCCGTGTTTTGTGAATAAAGAGTTTTCCATGCCTGGCAGGATATGGTTATATCTTCCCTGAATCCTGGCTTTGTTAATAACCTATCCTCACCAACCATTAGCTAGAGAAGAGTTGACCCTTTTAGAATTGCAGGGAAAGATGGATTAAAAAATTGATGATTCTCTTAACTTTTTGTCTTTGTAATATCTAAGCTTTTTTGTTTCTCCCAGACAAGAAAATATATTGTAGGCTGTAAACCTCCTCTTAATTTTGAGGAATCGTAGAGAAGCTCACATTATTTAGAACAACAAAATTTGTGTCTGTGGATTAAAAATTCTTGATTTGAAGAAAATATATGAATTGTACATTTTAAGTAGTTTGGATGAGATTTTATCTTAGCTGTAATATCTGTCAGAACGAACTTTACCAAACGAAGTCAAACCTTTATAATTGACTTGGTGTGGTGTCATCACCAGATGTAAACAGCTACACTATGAGTAGTTGTTGCTTACTCTTCAGGGTTCTGTGGTTGAGAAACAAAAAGAACTTAGAGCTGATTGTTTTTCAGGAGTGCGCTTTCAGAATCCTGACACTGACAGACAGAATTCTGTAATTTAAAAAATTGTTTACCTCTTATATCTCTGTTCTTCAGTTGTGTTCAGGTTCTCAGAACATTGGCCAAGGTTGCTAATGATGCATGCCTACTTGGTTTTTTCAGGGATCCTATGAACTTTTATGAGGATATTTCTCCATTTTTGGTAAATACCTAAATTCGAGGCATTCACTTTTGTAACCGCAAAAGTGCCTTACCTTCATGTGTACTTCATGAGTATTTTAAATTGTTGCCCAGTGCCATGCTGTATACTGTATAGGCTGTGGTATTTGTTGAAATGATTCTTATAATTCAGAAAGTTGGAAAAGAGAAATATAAGTGAAAATGTGGCAACTTACTGACTAGGGAAACTTCTGTTACAGAACCATCATTTAGGTGAGACATATTCATCCTTTCCCTTGCATATGTTTTCTCAGGATTAATCTTCTCCAACCTTCATATTTTCTTTCCTCTTGTCTCTCCAAAGCTGTGTGACAGATAAGTGGGAGGGATGTGAATTTTGGCTAATGGTAAGAACTTTCTTGTTTTCTTCCTTTTCCCTTCACTTCAAACCTCCATAATTACATTGATTGAACTACCTCATCCATTAATGTGAAAGGCTACGTACACATCACCAGCTTACCTTCAAGAAGTAGCACATCCCAGATAAATAGACTAGACACTTACTTGACACTTGGGATGAACATATTGAAAGCATTCGGAAACCATTCACAGAAGAAACAAGCCCTAATGTTTCTTCATGACAGCTAATTTCTCTAAGAAATGCAACACACAGTTATTTTTCTGTTCCATTACAAGATTATTAAGATATGGAAAATATTACCATTCGCTATTTCATCAACAGTATGATTACCTACACACTAAGCTGTGAAAGACTGAAATTATAAAAATAACATTTTTATCACTAGATTTGTGTCTATACTATACCTCGAAAAAATGAGTGAAAATTTTGTTGAAAATGTTTTGAATATGTAGATATTCTATTTGTAAAACATTTTGTACTTATGCCAGTAGGATTTATTGTCTAATACTGATATATTTAAGAGTTTTGTGTATTCCTGAGAGAGAAGAAAATGTATATTAAAAATATTTTAATGAGCCTTGATGTTGTGGAAAATAGAATTTTTAGTTTCATAAAGCCTTTTACTCAAATAAATTTTCTGTATGTAAAACATAAACCATCATAGCTTTAGATAGCACCCAATCTTAAAAAACCATCCCAAAACTTCTGTATTTGTGTATTAAAAAAAAAGTAGAGTAGTTTATATTTGAGGTAAAGAGTAGAACATTTTAGGTTACGTTCAGAGTGTTTAATTTGTGAGGAACTCTTAGTATACTAGTAAGAATATTTTTGGTGTTTCACGTTATGTAACTTAACATCTTTTATCCATGCATATATATATATCAAAGCCCCTCTCTTGATCCTCCACCATTTGGGAAGTCCTCTTTTTTATTGGCAGAGTTCTATTTCCCGAGGCTAGTTGGGAATTTGCCTACTAGCCTGTGGGATAACCTTAACTCTTAGAAGTTTTCTCAAGGGATGGTGATGGGAGCCTTGTGTACTGCCAGGTCCTGCCTCAGGACTTTGTTGGACTTCCTTTTGGAGGCCATCCAACTCCTATGGCTGTGCCTAGAGCCATCCCTATTTGAACCTAGGAGGGAGGGTGTCCACTGTTTAAAAGCTGGCTCTGCCTTGCTGGGCCCTTGCTCTGTATCCAGGCTTCTTGGTCAGATGTTTCTTCATCTTTCTGAGCATACACTATTATCTAAAGATCTTCTTGTATATAAATTTTTGAGGAGTAATTGTGAGGTCAATTACTTACTAAGTTTTCCCTAATACATTCATAGGAGACTTTGTGAGATATCTTCATTAGGTTTAAGGTGGAAGAGTAGGTACAAGGACAGGTTAAAGTGGTTAAGGGAAGAGAAAGATGTCTAGAAATGTTTTCAAATAGTTTGTACCTGTTATATTGTTAGGTGCAGTCAAGTTGGTTCTGACTGATAGGGACCCCCTGTACAACAGAACTAAACACTGCCCAGTAATGCACCATCCTCACAGTCCTTGCTACGTTTAAGCCCATTGTTGCAGCCACTGTGTCAATCCATCTCCTTGAGGGTCTTCCTCTTTTTCATTAATCTTCTACTTTACCAAGCATGATGTCTTTCTCCAGGGACTGGTCCCTCCTGATAACAGTAGAAATAAAGCCCTGAAGAGAAGAACAGGGGTGAAGGCAACTGACTATTTTCTTGTTCCTTTTGTTTTGTTAAGTGCTATTATTTTCTGCAAAGGGAAGGGTCTCACATCAAAGTTACCACTTTTTAAGTTTCTTTGGCCTCTTGATAAAATGAGAAAATTTATCTTTAAGTGTGGCTGGAGGAGTGTGTGAAGGCATGCCCTGACTTGCCCAGGGAGCCAGACTTCCAGACTTTGAATTTAGGGAAAGACCTGAGGGACAGTAATAATAAAGGGACCTTTCTCACTAGAGAACCTTGAATTTCAAACAACTTCTGCTTAAAACTGTCTCTCCGGAATAATCTCTTTTATTTTTGTTCCTATGAAACAGTGATAGAGTAGAATAAAGGAGGCTACAGTAGTGACAGCTTTTTCTATGCCTCCCAGATTTAATTTTATTTAAATTAGTCCTCTGGAAATATAAAAGGTATCTTTTAAGCATATCATTTTATGGACAAGGGCATTTTTTTGGTATCTGAGTAGGACTGGGGACAGGCTCTCCAAACCATACTGGGCACATATCCATTGCTGTTTCCCAGAGTGTTCAGATCTTCCAACCTTTGATTTTCTATCTTTTTCTTAGGTTCTTAATAAATCATTCCAGCTGGAACATGTACAAAGTTCGAATTGCCTGTATCCTAGATACACAGAACCAAGCATGTTGGTTGTTATATAGGCCAATAAAAAAAAAAAAAAGATTTGTCACCTGATACTCAGTCTTGTGCTTTGGTATTTGAGGATATAAAAATGCTTTTTGCTTTTGCTTTGTACTTAGAATGTGTGGTTGGTAGTAAATTTCTGAAAGTATTTTCAATTTAGACCTCTCCAAAATTGCTTAGTTTTCTGGAATTAAAGAGAGAGGGAGGGGAAAAAAAAGCCTAGTATTAAGTATGTTATCTTAGAAAAGTTGACATGGCAAATGAGGATTTAAAAGCTCTACCAGCATTTCCATTTGAGAGGATAGTGGTTTCCTATGTAAGTGAATGATGACCTTTATTCCGAGAATGGATATGGTAGGTGAGAACCACAGAGCTGAAGGGAATCTGGAGAATCATTCCAAGCTATTCAGCCTCCAGGAATACCAACAAGCGTTTTCAAGAGGATCACACCAAAGGATCACATTCTTTTCTCCTAAGTAGGGAGTAAATTTGGTCAAAAAACTGAAGTTTGCATATCCATGAATGTAGTATTGTAATCATAAAACACCATATCTGAATAAAGAAACAACAAAAGAACACTAACTTTTGGACTCGGGATAGAAACTAACATACCCCACATTTTCCGCCCTTAAGGGAGGAGGCTTGTGTTGCTTGGTACGTTAGTTTGGGTTCAGTTGCAGAGAAGAGAATCCCTTATAGCTAGTTAAACAAAAAGGAATTTATTCAAAGGCATGTAGAATCATTAGAAGGGTGATGAAGTAGACTCTAGGTTGAGCTTTCAGGAATAAGTCTCAAAGCCTCACAACAGAACCAAGAAACCGAAAGATAGGTTCCAAAACTTCTATGATCCATGAACAGGGAACTGACACACAGTAAGTCTAGCCATTACTACTGCTGCACAAAACTAGTGTCTGAACGGTGCTTGCCAGCAGAGATATCAGAATTGCTGCCTCCGATTCACTACCAACTTTTAGATCTCACTCCAGTGCATCTGTTAGGCTCAACCTAAATCACATCCAGAATGTTGGCTGCACGGAATCTAGGAAATACTGCTCTTGGCTTTCTAAGATGCTGCTAGAAAGAGTAGACTAAATGTTAACTGTCATGTATTATATCCATCACACTTAGTAATTAGGCACAAATAGTAAGCAGCTGAAATAAATTACTATAATTGTTAACATTTATAGGCAAAAACAAGTCAACATTTGTCTTTATTAAGTTCTCTATTCTGTAATCAACATCCATATACATATATGATTTCTGACAAACCCCTGGCAGGGAGCTGTACTGAACAATGAATACATTCATTGTTGACAGCTCAACTTTATAACTCTCAGGACTTGGAAGGATTTTATTGTAATATAAACAACAAGAACTTGAATGATGTCTCCTCTTCACCTTTATTATAGGAACTGATATCTGAGACAGCCACTTCCCCGCTTACAGAAACAGCTTTCCATCTGGTAATGGTGGCGCTGTCTGGATAACCTCAGTGTCATACCCCAAAGCACTAAAGAACATTATTTTTGTTCCATAGTGGACTGTATGTAACATATAAACACACAATGCCTTTTTTATTTCTTTGTATGTACGTGTGTGTGTGTGTGAGCAATAAATCAATCTTTTAGTTTCATAAAAAATAATAGTCGCTCTTTGGAAGACATTTTCTGTATGCTGTTTCTTGCAGGGGGTCAGGTTTCTGGGTATGAGCATCCTATAAGGGGCACAGGCAAAGGATCACCTGTCTGAGTAACCGTGCCAACTACTTTCAGACAGGTGGACTGTAAGAGGACTAGAGCTAGCTACGGCAGTGAACCATGAAAGTGAGTAACAAGGACATTTATTGTTTCCTGTGGCGTTGCTTTGGTTTGCTAGCGACTGGCAGCACTTGTAGCTTTAAATAAATTGAAGAAGTAGGAGAGAGACAACGGGGGAAAATGTTGAATAAGTCCTTCTTGAAAATATCAGTGATAAGATTTTCTTGAGTACTTCCTTGAATGCAGCTTTGAAAGCTAATGAA